CCCCTGACAAGCGGAGCTGAAGGTTCTTGTCCAGCGGACCGCTGCATTGCAAGCGAGGCTATTGGGTCTTAAGTCGTGGACTGTGGCTAAAATGTACTGAGTGACATTTTCTCCCGGCTTTGTGAAAATCTGCAAGCAGCGAAACATCCACTTTGAACGAAGCCCCAGAGACGTGGACTGGAGGCCAAAGTTTTCCTACCAGGGGACGTTGGGAGTGTTTCTCGCCAGTCCAGCTGTCTCTGGGGCTTTAAATCCTTTAATTATGAGGTCGGAGCAAGTGCTCTCGGTGGAGCAATAAATGTTCTCTTGTTCTGCACATTCCCCAATCCCATTTGCCACGTCCTTCCCCACCCGGCGCCCCCGCCCTCTCTTTTCATGCCGATTGATGTCGGGGTGAACGACGGGAGGGACGAAGAAGAGGAGGTGAAACGAGTCATGGAAGGGCGTGATTGTGATGGATGCGAGGGGCTCGGCAAAAGGAAGGCGGCGGCGCGCGCAGGCGTCAAGTGTCCCACGGAGCCGTTTGAAAGCCGACAGTGGCTCAAATGCTACAAACTGTCAACGTCAAATGTTCACGTTTGCGCCCCAAACTGGGCACACAGGTGCAGAGGATTCCCTTGACGCGACGTTGCGGGTAATCGACAGCGACGCGCGGCCAAAAACGGTTCCTGGCACGCGTCTTCCGAAAGTAAGACGATCATGACAAAGAGCAAGTTGGCCCAGGTGTGTCCATGAACAAGATGCAGATAAGATAGAGCGGCCGCTTTGTTCTTTTAATGACCTCGTCCCCACAGTAGCAGTCAGTCCTGCGCCATAGAACGCTAAATAGTGAGACGGATATCAACGAGTTGGTTTCCATTCCGTTTAGGATCAAGAGAAGCCGCTTTCTGCTGAGATGCCGTTCTCGAGTGGATTGCCCACATTTTTGGCCGTCCGCAGCTTTGTTGTTTTCACAGGTTTGCTTCACAGCAGCCATTTTGACATTGCAAAGCAATTTGGGACATGCAGTTAGCAGCAAGAAAAACAAACAAACAAACGAGAGCGATGGTTTTGAATGAGGGTTTCATGACTGTATTATGGTTCAAATCAAGGTTTCGGGTTATGACTTTGAAGGCAAGATTAAGTTCGGTTTCAAGACAGGCGGGCCTGGCAGGCGACTGGTTAGCATGTCTGCCTCACAGTACAGAGGTGTAGGGTTCGATTCCAGCTCCGGGCTTCCTGTGTGGAGTCGGCATATTCTCCCCATGCCTGCGTGGGTTTTCTCCGGGTGCACCGGTTTCCTCCCACATTCCAAAAACATGCAAGGCAGGCTGATTGAACGCTCTAAATTGTCCCTTGGTGTGAGCGTGAGCGCGAATGGTTGTTCGTCTCTGTGTGCCCTATGAATGGCTGGCAACCGGTTCAGGGTGTCCCCCGCCTACTGCCCGGAGACGGCTGGGATAGGCTCCGGCACGCCTGGGACTCTTGTGAAGCTAAGCGGATTAGAAAATGCACGGATGAATGGTTTTCAGACAGCAATTCTGGCTTGGAACCTGCATCTGAGATCCAAACTAGGGTGTCAACCAGGGTTACATTCGTGGCAATGATCTCCATCTCTTGACAAGTGAAAGAATACCTGCAGCCTTGTCATTTGTCTGAAGGGGACATGCAATACAATATACGTTGAATGTACCCCGAAGGACAAAAATGAAGTCGTTGCTGTATTTTTTTTTTTCCGAAGGGAAAGGTCTTTTGCAGTGACATTTTCACAGAGAGATTTGAATAAATTCCATTTTGAAGCCAACAGAGAGGACAAATGAATGTCACATCCACACACAAGAGCTCACCTGACGCGCGTCAGTCAATATGATTAATAATTCCCGGCAAAATAGCAAAAGCGAACGCGATCGGAATTCCAGCCGAGATGGTTCCGCCTCGGCGCCGCCAGCCTCTTTCATTATGTAAGGAGGAGAAGGCGAGACGCCCGAGTTAGAATTTTCAAATCGGTGCTTCCATCTTTTGCGTCTTTAAAGAAAGCTGTGGATTGATATTTTTTTTTTTTCCCAAAAAGTTTCTCTGCCTTTGAAATGTTCCTTTCTCGGAGAAGTTTTCATTCTGTTGTGCACACCAGGCCGAACATTTTTGTTGCGTTTTGACTCGAGTGCGCAACCTGCCGAGAAATGGACCGCAGCTGAAGTCAGCAAACGGGCAAGTTGGACAGCTGAAGGAGGGACGCGCACGAGCGTGGCGAAGCTTTTTTTTTTTTTTTTTTTTTTTAATTCTGCCGGCGCTCGTCGGCTTCACGTGGCGGGAAACAAGAGTGTGCCACGATCAATTATTTATCCCCGCAGTTTGTGCAGCGAGAAGTCAAGAGCGCTGATTGTAGAGGCTCGCTGGCAAAGGTACTTGTCAGGGGATTAGGAACGCTTATCCGGCTGGCGAAGGCTTTGATTTGAGAGTTATTGTTGTTATTATTAATATGTGAATATTCAATTCAAGAGGAAAGTCCTCCCTCGACATGATGAGATGGTTTTTGAAGAGCCAAATGTATCACAATGTGAGCTCATGCGTTCAATGGATGGATGTCAGAAATCTCGGATGACTTCAAAATAGGAAATTAAGTCTGGTTTTGGGACTCAAAGTAGGGCTTCACTTTTAAACGTTGGGGGTGCAAGTCCTCGGTTATGATTTTAAACAAGGCTTTAGGTTTCAAACCGAGGTTTTCAGCCACGGTTATGAGTTTCAACAACGGCGATGGCTTCAAAGGAGTCTTTCAAGCCTATGGTAAGGCTTTCAAAATTGGATTCCGAGACAAGGTGAAGGTCTCGGAGTGGTGTTTTAATTCTGGTTTCAGGTTTTAAAGTAAGTTTCAAACCAGTCTCAAGCGTTCATTCCTGGGTTTTGGTTTTCAATCAGGGTGGAGCTCTCAAAATAGGGTTTCAAAGCTATTGTTAGGTTTTCAAGCCAGTGTTAGGGTTTGCTTTGAAACGAGGCAGAGGGTTTCAAGCCATGGCAAAGGTTTCAGAACAGGAGTTTAATCCAAAATTTCAAGTTTGGGTTTTAAGAGAGGGTTTCAAGGAAAGACAGCTTTATTTGTCTCGCATATTCCACACACAAGCTAACTCAATGTGCTTCACATAATTCAAAGGCCACCATTTAAAGGCATTTACAAACGCAAAAAGTTCAAGACGCTTAAAAGCAAAGTAAAGAAAAAAATTTTAAAAAGCAGTATACAAAAATTACAAATGGGGCAAGAACAAGATTTTGGAAAAAATTATGATAGAAATAGACGTGGAAAAAAAAACATTTTGAATCTGGATGTAAAAGCATACACGACTGGGGCTGACGTCACTTTTATTGATTTTTTATTCCACTTGTGTGCAGCGTCACAGCTGCTTCACCATGTTTGCTTTGAACCTTCACCAACAGAGTCTGCAGACCTCAGAGCCTGACTGTTTTTTTTTATTCAAGCCAGTGATGAGGGTTCGAACCAATGACTCGGGTTTCAAAGTAAAGTTTCCAGCCATGTTTTTGACTTCAAAGTAGATCTTTAATCCAGGGTTAGGTTTTTCAAAATGGCTTTCAAAGACGGTGTCTTTTAAGCCCGTGTTGTGGCTTCAATTCAGTCTGGGTTCGGGTTCGTCAAGAAAAGGTAGGGTTTCAAGCAAAGGAGCCGGTGTTGCATCTCTCTTTGCGTTAGGTATATTTTGTTGGCCGCTTTGCAACGACTCTTGCGCTGCGCCAGGTTGTCAGCAAGCTAATGGAGTGTCCGAAGGTTAATTTACAAGCATATGAATGCCATCAATAGGCAATTAAGAGGTGCGCCAGCATGGCGGCGTGCGGCCCAGCGGCGAAATCCCCACCCTGACTTTAATCAATTCATTGCTCTGACATGGCTCTTTAAGAGCGCCTGATAGATTTACACATTAAAGCCGCCGCGCTGACCTTTCTTGTTATCCCGCGGCGCCGCGACAGCCGCCCGATGGTCGTTTCTGACGAGAAAGCCGCAGACCCCGAGTCGCTTCATCTTTCGCCCCAAATTTCCCCTCGTAGCGATTGGACTTCTGGTGTAAAACAGGAAGCTGACATGAGGGTCTCCAGATGAGCTCGCGCGCCAGACCAGGAAGCAAGTCGAAAGTCGGAAGCGTGAATTCAAGGGTTTGGCTTTCAGATTAGGGTGTCAAGCCACTGTTGGGGTTTCAGGTTTAGTGTTTAGTGTTTCAAACATGGTACGGTTTGGCTGTAAATCAGGCTTGAAACCTGGGTTAGGGTTTCAAATGTGTGAGGTCTTGAAATTAGTCATTTGAAAGTAGTGCTTGAAGTCAGGCTTTGAGTTTCAAACATGGGTTAAGGTTTCAAATTGGGGCTTCAAGCCATAGTTGGCGTTTCAAGGGAGTGTTTCAAGTCATGTAAGGGTTTGAAGGAAGGGTTTCAAATCAAAGTTAGGGTTTCACATGATCCACTGAGTGGGTGAAGGGGAAAAACAAAAAGCTTTCATCAAAGCTGAAGAATGCTTTTTTTGTTGACTGCCCCGTCGCCTCTCGAACCTCCGCGCAAACCAACTCTCAGCCCTTGACTGTCAGATGATATTTTCCCGGAATCAGCCGCCGTATTGTCGATGAAATATTCATGTTGCCATTTAAGGCGCCTGGGCCGAATGCTTGTTGAAAATATGATTTTCTTTGCTGCCTCGGGACGATTTCTATTCATTCGTCGCTCCTCTCTAAACGCCGTCTTATCTTGCTCACGGGTTTTGGCTTAGCGACTCAAAGTAGAGTTCCAAGACAATGTCAGGGTTCCAAGTTAGGATTTCCAATTGGGGCTACGGTCTCCAATTCAGGTTTCAAGCCAGGGTTAAGGTTGAAAGTGAAGGTTTTCAAACGAGGTTATTGACGATTTTCATGTTCGGCCTTCACTGAGGCCCTTTATTTATTTATTTGTTTGTTTGTTTATGTATTTATTGCCACCTCATGAAAGGTGCCGTGTGAGTGACGGAGCCGCTTGTGTTTGTGTTCCATCAGCCCCTCCAAACAACATCTCCGTGGTGGCCGAGAACACGCCGGCGCCGTTCAGTCGATACCAAGCCCAGAACTTCACGCTGGTCTGCACCGCCAAGGGAGGAAAGCCAGCGCCCTCGGTAGGTGAACCTCAAGCTCCATGTCGAGCACGGGCATATTCAATAAACGCTTCCCTTCATCATTTCGCCGAGAGGAAACGGAAGGAAAAGCATTCACGTGCTACGCTGACTTCTAAAAAGGGATTGAGTGGCGGTCTCGTTGCCATGGCAACCCGCCCAAATTCCATGTGAGTGGATGAGAAGCATCTGCCTGCAAACCTGTGAGAAAGCTAAAATATTTGCTGTCTGGTGACGCGATGCTTTTTCTGCTTTCAAGTCACGATGAGGGTTTCAATTTAAGGGTTTGAAATCCAAGTTTCAAGCCAGAGTCGGCAACGCAAGGTTGGGGTTTCAAATAAAGGCGCACATCACACGTTAAGATTTCGAAATTGGGGTTCAACTTTCAAAGTAGGCTCACCATCCAATGTTAAGGTTTGAAGTCTGGGTCTGTTTTCAAAGAAGGCGTTCAAGTCTGGGATAGGGAATCAAATTGAATTTGGAGTTCAAAGTCGGATTTTGGGCCTCAAACTCGGATTAGGGTTTCAAGTCTGGTGTATGCCTGTGCTAGTGTTACACATTAGGGTTTCTCGTCAGTGTTAAGGTTTCGGGTGAGGCTTTTGCATTTGGGTTTCAAGTCAGGGTTTGAGTGTCAAATTATGCTTCAGGATTAATCTTTCAGGGTTAGGGGTTTAAATTCGGATTTCGAATTGCAGTTATTGATTTCAGAATTGTGGTTTGAAATCAGGTGACGCAAAGTTGATCATCTCCTATATCATCATCATCATCATCATCATCATCATGGTCCATGATGAGCTGTACAAACGTGTCAGGCCGGTCCACCAGAGTTGGGGCGGCCTTGGAGTTGGAGAGCCCCACCCCACCATCCACGACCACCCTCACCACGCCATTCCCAACACCCCCCCCCCTGGCCCCACCCCACCAGCTGGGTCATTAATCAGCGTCCACACGCGCCCATGCTAATGCACTCCCTCGCCGCAGCACACGCGTCTCCAGCAATTGCAAGCACGGTGAGAGGTGAACACAAGGTGAATGTGATTTCCGTCCCGGTGGGGAACCTTACCGCACCCCCCGCCCCACAAAGACTTTTAAAGCTCCACTATTGATTTGGACGGGGGACTTGGCAAGCTGTGACGCACGTAGCTGAGTTTTTAAAAAAAAGTGGAAATCACAATGCTTGATTTCAGCCATCCAGCATGCGCACTTTCCATGCATTGCTGGTCAAAATTGTTCCTTTCTGTGTGTCCCTTGGCTGGGCAACCGGTTCAGGGTGTCCCCCGCCGACTGCCCAAAGACGGCTGGGATAGGCTCCAGCACCCCCCGCGACCCTCGTGAGGATAAAGCGGTTCGGAAAATGAATGAATGAATGAGCTTTTTTTTTTTTAATCCAGACGGAGCAACTGCTGTTGTTGGCGAACAACGTGCAGAAGTAGGAGGAGATATCAGCTCTTTGCTGATTGAACAAGAAGCCCTTCGAGTTGCCGTCGAAACAACACCACATGTCACCATTTTCTGCCTTTCCAAGCAATTGTGCGTTCAGCGTACTTCGAAAGTGTGCGTGCGCGCCCACGCGTCAGGAGGGCGGATAATAAACAGCGTGCGCTGCAACTTTGCAAAAGTCATCCAACTTCCTCTCGTGCTTTTGTCAAAAAGCTAATCAGCCAGACGTGTTGTTCACTCCGGCGGATGGAACGCGCGCATGCGCGCACGCACGCGCGCACTCCTCAACTCCTCATCGCCTTTTATTTCCTCCCGTGAGATGCAGCGAGTCCTTCACACACAGGTGTTCTCACTCGTGGCGCCTGATTAAACCTCTTCTCGCGATTCTGTGTGTGCGCGCGTGTGCGTTTGTGTGACATCTCATCCATGTTTGACTTGGAATGGCGCCTCAAGTCGAGCCTTTTTTTCATAAAGGGAAAGTGAGTTTAAAAACTTCATATATGCTATTTAGAAAGTGATGTTATTCGCGACAGTGTATTTGGTGGTGACGACAATGAAGAATTTAACGATTCCACCCCATGATCAAAATTGTGTCACGGCCCAATTCTTTATCGCTTCTCGTGTCGATTCTCATTGGGCGAGGGAATAAAAAATAATGCAAACGAGTTTGTTTGCTTTCATGTTTTATCAACCATCATGTATAAAATGTAACCCTGTTGGATTGACTCAGCATTATTTTGTGGTTGCAGGAAATAGAATCATCTGGTTTCACATCTTTTTTTTTTTTTTCTCAGGAGACGATACGTCTCCTCATAAAATGTAACTGAATGATTTTCAATTTGTGTAAAATTGAGGCAATTTCAACACACCATTTTTTTTTTTCCTAATACATACCGTACTCCAAATCTGTAATGGGGGAAGACGGGGGATCAATGTCAATGACTTCCTTCTCAAAATATGTCAAGAGACCAAAAATAAAAAATAAAAATAAACATAGTTGCCACCTCCAAGATATTATTGGATTACCTTCGAAAATTGCCCAGTTATTGGTCCATGTTTGGAGATTTTTAAGACCACAAATAAACGACCCCCACCACCACCAGGCGATAGCAACTCAACAAATTATTCGCAGCAGAATGTGTTACCTGACATAAATGCTGACGTCCTCAAATATACCCGTAATGGATTTATAAACCGTTTTTACACTTCAAAACCAGTTTACGTCATTTGACTTTCTCTATTGTGCCTTTCAGAGTTTAGGGCAGACAAATGTTACGCGGAGGATGTCACGTATCTTATTTGAGACAAAAATGTTATGTTATTTTGTTTGATTTCACGTGTAAGCTTTGTTTGTGTGACAAAAGAGCTCGTTCGCCTTCCCACGAAAAGGATCCCTTGTTGCTAGGCGATCATCCCTTTCAAATCTAATTACAGAACACTTGGGAGTCAGTTTGATAAAAGTCCCGTTTCAACGTGTATATTAGTATTTTCCATTAATGCCTCCTTCAAACGCCACAAAACTATTTTTGCACCCCGGATGCGTGTCGACTGGGCTATCAGATCCAAAATAAATTAATCAATAGAAATTGCTTCGCCGTGACCAGAGAGAGCTTGAGGTGCCGTGGGAATTAAAAGCCGGCCGGGTGTGTTCATATTTCGAGACGCGTTGCCATGAAGATGATGATGATGATGATGAAGAAGGCACTAATGGCCTCCCTGTGTCACTCATTAGCGCATTCTCAGCGCACAAAGTGTGCGCTGATTGGAAAACGAGGGCCGATAATGGCGCTCGTTAATATGAAAGAAAGCTGATGAAGTTGATCACGAGGAGCCTTTTTGATGTTTGGAGGGCTACCTCCACCCTCAGAGTTTAGCAGCCACTGCTTCCATGGTATTATCTGCAGTGCGGGACGGCGTAATTGTCTTGCGTGTCTGGTGGGTTGTCCCCGTCGCGCTTTTTGGGCACCCGAGTCCGTGTCTTTGCTTTGAGGTAATAAGGAGTCCTGATCCGATACCTTGGCAACACATTAAGAAAAAAGGAGCATGCATCTAAAATGTCTCAAATGAATATAGAAGTCTTCGTACAGACATGTAGCCTACATACATAAATGCTGAGATATGTTATATGTTTTTATACGTACAACAACTCAACCTTAAAATGTTATATGGTTCCATTTCAGACATTTTTTGGGGGTGGTGATTGTTTTTCGTCCTCAAACTCTCTGTGGAATTTTAGAATACGATACATATCAATGTGCAGGATGCTAAAAAATACACGTCATTTTAAAGTGAAGTCGCTTGGATGGGTGACGATTGCTAACCTGTCTGTCGCTCTCGCAGCTCTTTGACGATGTGAGGCCACCTTACACTACAAACAGGCTTCGGCTGTTTTGTAATTGTCGTTTGTTTTTTTTCTGAGTGTTTTCAGATCCTCCGTCATCCTTTGAACGGTTTCCTAATACAATTTACCTTCTGCTGCAGCAGACAGCCAACGTAAGATTTTGTCCTGTAAGATTAAACCATTACTGTTCCATTTGACAAGCATATATAGCTTTGAATTATTGACCTTTCAAAATGTATGAAATCATACAAACAAAAGTTTTTGCACCGATCCTCTGATCCACAAAAAAAAACAAAACAAAATCACGTGACCGCAGTTCTGGGATTTACTATGGAGAGGCACGTCACAAAGGCTCTCCTACTTATCATGCCTCATTATCGCCTCTTTTCAGGTGGCACTGGGAGACAGTTCACCATCTCGCGCTGCAGAAAAAAAACAAATAAATGTTGCAGGGATGCCTGCTTTGAGTATTAGAGGTAGAAAAATAGTGCAGCCACCATCATCCCTTGACCGCAAGCCTTCTGAGAAGCCCGCTTTCCGCAGTCAAATAATTATCATGCAAGACAAGGCACCAACACCCGCTGCAGAAAATGCCGTCGGAACTGAGGCTGCCGTAGCAGCCTATAAAGGGAGACAAACTCACGGCGTGTCCACTATCGTCGCCGTTTGAGAGGCGCGCCTGGCATGAGCTTAATATCTGCTGACTGTTACGTACAAGTACAAACAGTTGAACATGTTCACAGGCGGTGTCGTTGCATGACAACGCCGGCATGGACCCGCTGATAGCGGCCGCATGCCGCGGCGAAACGAGACGATGGTGGAGGTTGATAACGGTGACAATAAACATGATAGACAGCGCAGCAGCCCGGCCGGCTGTTCTGGGCCTTCTCCTCGATGGGACGTTTCAATAACGGTGAAAGAAAAATCATTCCGAGAGGCATCCCTCACAGTTTATTAACATCACCCCGGAGTTATTATATCCAGCGCGTTCACACGTCACCGTTGCTCTCGTTTAGTGAAAACAAATGGAGATTCTTTAGTTTCGTTTCAAATCATGAAGAAGTGAGCAGGACTAAATTCGCCGTACGAGCAAACTTATCGTTTTGTTTTGAGTAGTTCCAAACGAGTCTTTTGTGTTATCAATTTCTCAATGAAATGTAAAACTGACATGAAACTTGGACCAAGTACTGGCCAAGTGTTTGGGAATGTTGACGGTCAGGTC